AAAATGCTGACAAAATTATATAAATCACTTATTTTAAATTATAACCCAATTTGGATATAAATCAAGAATAAGATACGATACCACACACAACACAGTTATATGGAGGAATTGACTTCAAGCTTTATTTTTTCCCAAATATTTGTAATCCATCCAACACATACTTGGGTTTTTTTGTTGTTGATGCGAAGACAATATTTCTATATTTCTTTATGTGCTCCATTGAACGACTAGTTAGCAGCTTGTTCCCGCAAACTAAAGACAGAAAAGACAGCAACCATGTAATTTCACCATAAATCAAATTTATGTAATTTAAATAATACTTATCAGTGCCTGTACAAGCGGTGTGTACTACATAGATAGGAATAAATATATATTATATCTGAACATTACGCTCACTTGTTGCCTCTCTTCCTATAGCTATAGAAATAGACAATCCTTCAAAATTACTGGCCTACGGCGTTCTTACCTCAGCATTTGATAGTAACCTTCATCGCTTAGGTAGACTGGTCAGTCTGAAGGACCGCCGTCAAGCATCCATGCTACTTGGCACTCTGTCATGTTACGCTCGGTCGTTTGTGCACGACCCCCAGCCGGGCAAGCAGTTGTCACCTCACTACGACTCCTATCGCGAAATATATCTATTGTTTTGGATGATCAATCTGATGTTTTGATTTGTCTTTCGTGTGGGCAGAACAGGTACTATTTAGGTTGGAAAATAGGAACGTAGGTTACTATATAGCGTACCTCGCGAAAACTTCATCATCCCTTTATTTTCTAGGCCGCCTTTGGGGGAAATACAGCAACTACGGAGATAAGTTTTGAACACTGTTATCCGCCTAAGATCTTAAGCCTTTCCGTGAATTAACAGCCTGGAATTCAATCAATTGTTTATCGATAGGCCATTACTATCATCAGGAAATGGAACGAAGTATGGGTTGTCGCTCAACTTCGATGGAGACCTTCGTGAAAGATTTAAAAATTAACAATTATAAGAATCTGTTCCGATTGCTTGTACTGTAATTCAACAATTTGAACCTTTTAAAAAAGTGATAATGTATGCTAATTCATAATTGTAATTCGTAACATAATTGATCGTGCCTGCAAAAATGGCATGCATTTCATGTAAACTTACCCGTTTATACGAAATATAAATTATTATTATTACAAGCACTCCAAGGACATGTAGGCTGGTCATTGCCCGAGCTTTTAGATGCAGAAATGCGTTTTCCTTTCTAACCTGGAGAAATCCATTTTATGAACTGTGAGCTTGGGAAACCTGATTTTTTAGTTGGAGAGTCTGAATGAACCACTGCCTCCACATCAAATCACTATGAGGTAAGGTCACCTGTTTCGAACTACCGCTTTTGTAACAGCATCTCCGACACTCGATCAGATAAACAAGACCCGTTGGTATGCTACGTGGTTGCTGTCGAGTTAAATAACCTGAGAGTTCTCGTTAAGGTCTAAAACCACTTTCTTTTACTTTATCAGTCTTTTTGTCTTCATTTTATTTGGACTAAAAAGAAACACTCAAGATGTCATGAGATCACGAAGGTGCTTTTTGGGGAAGGAGACGACTTCAGGGCCTGTAGTTCTGTTGTCTGCAAAAGGGGTTTGGCATTTGAATGAAGCTTTTCACGCGATGGGTGAACCGCCAATACGACAGAGTGTCGAGACAATATCAACAGTTTATGCAAAAAAACTCATGCCCGCGGTTTTGATACATACGCCCACCTAGTCGGCCCAGCACAGTCTCATGCAGTGTTTCGCCGGAAAACAAAAATATCACACCACCAAATCTAGCCGAAAACCATAAACATTATACTTTGGCCCACCAGACTAGGAGTATAAATCCACAGATGCTAAGGAAGCATCACGTCATATCCGGTCAATATTCTACTAGTATAGACCTCACAAACACAGCGGTGTGAGGAGTAAGGAGCTCCAGCATTGCAGAAAGATTTATTGTATCCTCTAGCAAGCATGATCTTGGCAGCGCGATACAGAATAACCACACCCTGAAGCAGGCCAGGGTTATAGACTTTGGAGAAGAACACAAGCTGTCAAAAAATTAACCCATGTTGGGGGTCAGTCGATCGAACTGTCTAATCATGCTTAATGTACCAGTGTGCAGCGAGAGTCTGCTTGAACAAAGGGCACCGTTTTATCATGAATGGTGGTTTAATTTGTATGGCAAACCAAGGCCTGACGGCCGAGTCAAGCATTTATTGGGTGGCGTCTGTCGCCCATTTACCCGCGAAGAACATAACCAGCTGCTGCTCAGCACCATCACAGGGATGCGGAACTTCGACTAGGGCCGAATCATTATTACTGAAGATTTCAATGCTCCGTCTCCTGACCAGTCGTCAGGGTGTGCTAAGAGAAAATTTGGTCCCATAAACCATTAGAAATTTAGGACTGACCACGAACACTGGGGATGACACTAGACGGGGCCTTGGTGGAAAGCTGTCGAAACTGGATTTTATCCTAACTAGCGACCACTCACTAGTGAGAGATCAAATCATGACCCCCCTAGGTGGCAGTGATCCCTCAGTCATAGTGTTAGGTCTTTTTCTTCGTGAGTACTTACAGTAGGATGCTCTGCGACCCTGTCTATGCTATGAAAAAGCTGCCTAAACCAAAGTGCGAACAATATTATCTGACTCAGAATGGCTCACAAGCTGGGCTTAGTTACCAGTGGGGGAATATCGAGAAGAAGTGTCACAGCAGTATGAGGTACCATCCCTCTGGTCACACTGTAACCTGAGGAAAGATCCTCATGGCTGAAGAGAAGTGTGCATTGTATTCTGCAACCAAAGCGCAGAGCTTGGTCTACATGGCGACTTCCCAAGAGTCAGAATGACCATGAAACATACCTTGAACTCAGTAGCCAGTGCAACACACGGGTCCGGAGTGACAAGAGGTCATTTCAGGCAAATCTTGCCAGAAAACTACTGATAAGTTTAGAAGTATGTGCGATTATTGGGTAGAAAACCTACCAACCAGGTGGCATGCGCCTTAGGATGTCCAAGTGGTCAATATCTTAACAGTTTGGAGACGGCTGGAACATTCATTTCGGCCTTTGACGGACAACTAAATACCACTGTGGGCATTACCACCTTAAGGATCACACTACTAACTTACCAGGAGGAAACCCAGTGGGTACACTCTAGATAAACCCTGCAATGGTACTGGGGAAGCTGCAGAAGTTCAACTCTGGAAAGCTCTCATTTTGTGACCATATTCAGCCATCTGTTTTAAAACAGTGTACTGAAGCGCTCTGCGTGCCCTTATAGAACCTGTTCCAACGCTTCCTGGATTCAGAGAGACTTCCAGAGGTGTGGAAGAGAGCCATTCTTTCTCCCGTATTCGAGGACGGGAATCAGCGAAACCCAGGGAGTTACAGACCAGTGGTATCAAAGGTGCTGGAAAGTCTGAGTGATGATCATATCACGTAACACTTTGACAGGACTAACATAGTTCATGAAGCACAACAGGGCTTCATGAGAGGTAGAAAATGTGTGGCAAATCTACTGCCAACTAGGAATGATTGAAAATCATATTAGAATATGAACGTTATAGTCCATGTAGAATGCGTCTGTGGCACAGCGGTTAGGAAGCTCAACGAACATGCACATGGTCCGGGGTTCGATCCCCGGCCGACGCACTCCTTTACATCGCTAAGCTAGTAATAAATAAATAAATAAATAATAGTATATTCTCATTTTGTACATGACCGGTAAAGAGGGAAGGTTGAACAAGAGGCCAGGAACCCCATCACGTAAAAATAAACTCTGCTACAGAAACTTCAAGCCTCTAGCTTGAGGCTCTATGTTCCACTGGGAACGTGAAGGATTAAAAAAGACGTCCATGTAGTCTTCACTGACTTCGCTAAGGCATTTGATACAGCTCAGCATGACTTCCATAAGATAAGTCAGGCGGGTATTAGTGGTCTGCTTCTCTCATGGTTGGAGGACTGTCCAGACGAAAGGGAGCTGTGAACCAAGGACAGTTGCGTCCGATCACCCTGGCACATTTCGGCATCCGGAATATCACGAGGCCCTATCCTAGGACCGTCGGTGCTTTTGACAATTATCAGTGACCTGTCATGCTGTCTAAACTGACTGGTTCTCATTTACGCCGACGACGTAGAGATTTGGAGGTCAATAAAATATTTGGAAGGCTCGGAATAGCTGCAGGTAGAACCTAAAATTCTGTGGGACTACGTACTGGTCAGTCGTAAGGATACAAATGACCAGAGTCACTCAAAAAAGGTATTCTGATACCAAGTCATTATGGGCCTCTTTGTACCATTGGATGGAAGATAGCTTATCAGAGAGCGAAGATTTTTCTCTTCATGTTTGCCACCACTGGTGTTCTTTATCAACAGATGTAGCTGCTGTATCATCCGTGGAAAACTTTAAGTGGCGGCTGAGCAATCATGCAGTGACGCAAAGTCTGAATCCAAACGGCCTATCCCCTCAAAACTCATGCACACTATTAATGATTGTTCAGATTAACTCGTCGTTTTAGTGCTACTTATTGTCCCTTGCTGTACTCTTTTGACAACTCTGTCTGTTCATTTACTTATTTTATTACTTTTCTTAACACAAATTTCTTACTTTCAAATTTCATTATCTATCTGTTCATACGTTTTCTTTTTTAGGTCTACGTAATCTACACTTATTATATCAATTGATACTTTTGATCATTTTTCATTATCACCATCTCTCTTTTTGACCACACTGGACAGATAACGGGTGAGAGGACCAACTGCATACACAGCAGTGACATGGTGTTAACACGCCGTATACTACAAACTACATATATTCAATCCTGGTGCTAGTCGTCAAGGCGTCAACCAAAGCTACGACATTCGAGAAGGGGGGAAACTACGCAGAAGATTATCAAAGATCGGGAACCTTTACTTTGCAACCAAGAGGCGAGCGAAAAGAAATCAATTAGTTTACACTAGCTGTTGAGAACTACACTGGATATTGGATAGGACTCAGCGGTCCAAATGAATTCGCTCTATGACCTTGGGGGCGCTTTCGCACGTGAGCAATGCTAGTTTGTTAGCTCAGAAGGTTGGTATTTAATGGGAAATTAAGACTGTAATCTGACTACTGGTAGAGTTGTGTACTGAGAAACTGTGCTTAAGGGATAACTTAGTCAGTAGTATTGGGAAGGTTGACCTTAGGAGCAGCCGATCAGCTGACATTGAGCGTTTCGGCGAAAATCAAGTACCACCCCTGAAATTTTCGGCAAAGTTAAGCTACCATAACTAAAGACATAGTAACCTTGATTAACCAATCTGAACTCAGTTGCAAATAGTCACACGATCTCTGAAAAATGCTCAGCTGTCATTTACTCTGTGCATTGCAGACATCTCGGGGTAAAATATTCGGGCTCATTTAAGAAAGTTGGACGGCCACCTGCAGTGGAACCTTAGTGTCTCCCAAGGTGTCTGCATTGAATATCTGTAGTTCTCCCAAAGTGTGTTCCAAAGTCTTTGCAATGCACCCAAAGTCAATGCTGGCTGACTAGTGACTGAAGTAAAACGTTTTGGGGACAAATTAATTTAAGAATTTCAGGAAAACTAACCCGGGTTACATTTTTTAGTCATCGAGAAACCATCATACTATCTCATGGGCCTTCATTTATATACATATGATTATCAAACGTATCTTTCGCTATCCGTCGACGTAACTTCACAAACTCGTCGATTGATTTCCCCTCCAACTCACCTAGCACTCAACCGAAGCCTAACCTCAATATTACTAACCCTGTCATATCATTTAACAGAGGAGATAGAACGCAGACATCTATTATATTATTATCATTGTTTCCTTTAATTCCTAGAGGAACATCCAAACGTCTCCACTGCGTTCGGTTCTCTGCTAGAGTCTTTACCTGACTCCATTTCTGCCCACACGTTTTCATTTCCTCTTCACATGACCTCCTCCAAGTCACCCTTGCACTGACGACCAACTTACCGCTTCTTTTTCGGGTTCCACTCGAGCAATGGCTTGTCTAGTGGTGTCACTTGATGGTTTCCTAAGAGTATGGCCAATCCATCTCCATTTCTTCCTGCCTATTTGTTTCACAATCGGTTCCTGGTTGGTTTGCTCCCAGAGATCTTTGTCGGTGATCTTTTCTGGCCATCTGATCTTGAGTATTGAGCGAAGACAACTGTTAATGAAGGTCGGTAGTTTGTTTGATGTGCTCTTTATGACGCGCCAAGTCTCTGATCCGAATAGTAGCACTGACTTCACATTGGAGTTGAAAATCCGGATCTTATTTTCATTCTCATGCTGAGTGCTGTTGACCTCCACACAGACTTGAGAGTAGTGAGAGCTTGTCTTACTTTTCCGATTCTTGCTTTGATGTCCTCGTCAGTTCCGCCTGTAGTTGAAACGATGCTTCCCAGGTAGGCAGACACCTATGGTCAAAGAAAATTAGCCGGATTTTTCATGTCTTTTTCTTTCAATGACCATGTCTCACAGCCATAAAGGAGGACGAAGCAAACTGATGAGCAGCATACGCGTCCTTTGCTCGTCAGCCGAATATCTTATCTACGTCAATTAGCTTCATCAAATCGTAATATTAAGAATTACTCTTTTTACTCGACTATTGTGTAGTGGACCTTATTGCTAGTAGAAAATCTCGAGGATACACAGAGCAGAAGTATTGCATTTATCAACAGTAATTGAACTTCCTCATTTGTGGGTTCCCTTATGAAATGGCTGCCTAGCTTTGCACTAGACCTGACTTACATCTATACTAAGAAGATTGGATTCAAAGTGCCGAAATACATGTTAGCATTGCTTTGGGCGAATCTGTTTGTAGGAATGACCTGATATCCTTATGTGCTTATCGTCTTGGAAAATTGCGCCGGGTACAAGTATACTACCGAAATAAATAGATCGCTCATTGGTTATACCATGTTTCTGATGAATTCACACGTAAACCTGCATTTTAGGAGAAGTGAGAATAATTTTGAAACTGAATCTTTGATGCGAAGATCTAATGGACACTAAGGAAAAAATAAATATAACTAGGGCGAAGATCACTATCTGTGTTACGTCAAAACATCTGCTACCAAAAGATTAAAGTTCTCAAAGATCTAGCACAACGGAATTGTATCGGTCTAGTTAGTGGTTTTGTGTTCGATACTAAAGACATTCCAATTTAAGTATTTTATGCTTTCTTGAAGATCTCCACGAGGCGTTTTTATTTGTTGCCAGGTTACTCGAAGTTATACTGATGCACATTAAGTATTTTTGAAGAATGTTGATCAAAGACAGTCTCATCTCTGAATATCACAGTATTTCGGTTAACGCCTACCTTTAAGAATCTATCGTACTTTAATTCAACCTAAAATTAGGTGATCAATTGTTACCAACAATTGATTTTATTTTTATAACTGCACATTTTGTGGCAACAGTATTAAAACACCAACTGACAGAGTGTAATTCCATTATGGGTAAATTTTGTTTTGATATAGTCTCACAGTGTTATACAGTAATGTTTACTCAATTATAGGACAAAGCTGTCCATTGAAGAAATTATTTTAGGGATTCAGCTATGCTTCACATCTACTATATTTAAATTCCAAGGCAAAATATATAGACAAACTGAAGGTGTAGCAATGGGATGCATCACCAATATCCCCTATCTTAGTAGATATATTTATGGATAGCTGGGAAAATATGGCTCTTAATACGTTTAATCCTACTCCAAAAATATGGTGGAGATATGTGGATGACACTCACTCACAGTGTTAAAAACAGAACATATCTCTAGTTTCTTGACACATATAAACTCACTAGTGGAGGGAATAAAATTCACATTTGAAACCGAAAATGAGCAAGGAGAATTAGCTATGTTAGATTGTGAAATAAAACGAATAGAAGAAGGCAAACTACACACTAGTGTTTATAGAAAACCAACGCATTCTGCTAATAGATATTTGGACTTTAATTCATCTCATCCTTTAACTGTTAAGGCAGGCTTAGTTAAGTGTTTAACAAACCGAGCAATGGCACTAATTAGCACAAAAAAAGACCTAAATGATGAAATAAAACAGATAGAAGAGGCGTTGGTTTTAAATAACTATCCTCTAAAATTCATTAGGAAGATTGAAAAACGCCAAAATAAAAATAAAAATAATTGTGAAACTAGTAATAATAACATAAATAAGAGGGAATATAAGTCATCTGCAGTTATACCATATAAGGAGGGGACATCTGAGATTAGACCCTAAATAGGATTCTCAATGAAGCAGGAATTAGGCATTCAAACCTACAAACTCACTCACAGACAAGCTCTGTAGGTTAGAGGACCCAGTTGACCCAATTAGACAAAATAATATAATTTACAAAATACCCTGCAATGACTGTGAGGTCAACTACATAGGTCAAACTAGTAGGTCAGGGGTAGTCAGATTGTCAGAACATAAGAATTTAGCTAAGGTAAGAATGGTTGACCCAGAGAAGATGAGTAATTTAGAAAAAAGCTCAACGATTGCACTGCATGCGTTAACATACAACTACACAATAGGGTGGGAGAGGGTTAAAATTCTAAATTACTGAATCCTTGTTCATCGAATCCACACCTAACACATGCAATAGAAATGATTCATCACTCATACCCGAAATATGGAAAATAATACTACCAATCAAATCAAGTGAAAAACAACGGAATTATATAAATGAATTTAGGAAGTCGTGTGATTACCTTAATATGATTATGAGCAATAAATTGTGCTCGAAACGTCATCAGTAAACATTACTGTATAACACTGTGAGACTTTAGCAAAATAAAATTTACCCATAATGGAACAACGATATACATATAAAGTAATGATACAAATATTCCACCGAAAGAGTGTGTGGAATATACGATTTAGTTTCAGTTCTAAGTTACCAAACAGAATAGAAGGATGCAATAACTGGGCTTTTCAGGAGGGGATGGTCGACTCCTTAATCATCACTTTACTTGTCCCATATGTGTTGTCTCTTCTGATAGTCTGTATATGTAAATACATGGTGGTAGTTGTGTACTAATTGCACGTAATAAGAGAAAAGTGCCTTCGATATTTTTGTTTTTATTCCACCTATTGGTGGTCATGAATATTCAAGAAAACTAGTTATTAGTACTCTGTCTTGCCTTTGATGTTACACAAGATAACCAGTCAAGCTTTAGCTCAGGAAGTAGTTGTATTGAACATATCTTCACCCTTCGACAGATTCTGGAACATACAAGCATTCTTACTGACGTCCAACAATTTACGTATTTCCTGAACTAAAAGCAGCATTCGATTCCGTCGACCGAGAGGTACTCTGGCGATGTTTGGCTGTGAAGGGAATGGCGAGGAAATAATACATTGCACTGATCAAGGCACTCTACTCGAACTCATGCAGCTAACCAGGTTAGAGCCTATGGAGAATTTTCATCTAAAGTGGTAACAACCAGTGGTGTCCGTCAAGGGTTCTCACTGTTCCCATTTCTGTTTATATTTCATCATAGATGCATGCACTAATGGACTTAACCCTAAGTGACTTCAGTGATTCAGGGATTGACTTGTTATTAATCAAGGAATAATGGTCTTTTTGATTTAGAATATGCGGATGATATAGTCCTCCCTCCTAGGTGAAGACGCTGACAAAATAGAACAAAGGTTTCTGAAGACCTTGATAAGTGAGCGACCTTCGAATGTTTGGCATGCGATTCACTCCCGTCAAATGTAATATGCTGCTAGAGGACTGGACTGGAATACATTGACGCTTAGCTTAAAGACAGAGGGGACTGAAGTGGTTGATAGAGTGTGTTGACCACTTCACTTATTTGGGGGGAAGTTGCATCATCCCCTTCAGTGTGTTGGTCGGTGACGAAATCTCAGCACGGATACAAAAGGTAGATGTGGCATATGCCAACATACACCATCTCTGGCGTAGTTGTGATATCCGGCTGTCCACCAAAAGGCGTGTGCACTGCTCAACAGTCCGTTCCGTCTTCCTTTATGGCTGTGAGACGTGGCCATTGAGAGCGGAAGACATGAAGAGATTGTCTGTTTTTGACCACAGATGTTTACGATCTCTTTCTCGCGTTAGGTGGTATAATAAGGTAAGTAATGTTGACATTAGGCGTAGAGTGTTGGGCAAAGAGGGAAAATCACTCGAAGAGGCTATGAAGTTACATAGATTGAGATGGTTAGGTCACGTGCTGCGCATCGTCTCCCCCGACGGGCATTACTAGCTGATATAGGTGCAGGTTGGAAAAGAGTAAGTGGTGGCCAAACAAAAACTTGGCATCAATCCATGAAATCCTTGACAGTTAAACTGAGTCAGGTAGGGAGGGAGATGCAGACTTCCGTGTTGGGGCCCGCCCTCGGGACTCTAAGAATCAATGGCTCAAAATAGTTGTCAATGGCGCAGATGTATTCAGTCTCTGTAATCTTTGATATTCCTTTCTACCATTACTCATTCTGTTTCACTCTTATACTTATCTAAATTCTATTGATTCTCTTCACTCATTTCCTGTCTACCTTTGTGTGCTATTTGGAACGAGGCAACTCGAACTGCTGCACTTCGGTGCCAAGTTCTATGTTGAATCCAGCAGCAGCAGCTAGCCTAGCCATCCCATGCCTTCCTCGACATTGGGCAATATTAGCTGTCAGGCTGGAAAAGAGAAGGCTAGTTGTGGTCAGACCAAAACATGGCTTCATCAGTCAATGAAATAAATCCACAACAGTTAGTTCAAGCCAGCCAGCCACGTTGGGAGGTGTAGACTTCCTGACTGACTTGTTGTTGTCCTCGAGATGGCAAGAACCAGTGGCAGTGGCTTGAGACAATTGGTGATATGGCTCAAAATCCATGTTGTTAGGGTCAGTGCAGGTGCATTCACTCTGAGATTTATTATATGCAATAAAAATCTATTGTTTTTCCATATTACTATTCTTTTTCCCTCACTCACACTTCTGTTTATCATCTGTCTCTCTCTTTTGAACCTCCCTTTACTCACTTCTCTGGCTTAGTGTGGTACATGGAGGAGAGTAGCAACTGGAACTATTGTACATCTGCGTACAGTTTTATGTTGAAACCTGTCAATCAGTTAGTCATGCATTCGTGCTGCTCCACACATCTAACGCGCAACGGTATGTCGTAACTCTTGGTGCAGAGAGTAATATGAGTGCCAGAGTTGACTATTGGAATATCGTCAAACGATTTCAATTTTCGCCACAAAGAGAGCGAGCATTGAGTTCACAATAAAATAAAAATATTTTGAGACGTTAGTTTCAGTATGCATCCAAGGATTTTGTCTGAAGGGGGAAAGTAACTTAGATTTTCGAGATGAGGTATTCCACGGAGGGACTTAACTTAGAGATCATTACAGCGTCTTGCTGTACACAAAATGAAGGTTGGTCTAACATTTACCAACATCAACCCTCACTCACACTTCTGTTTATTATCTCTCCCTTTCTCTCTCTCTCTCCTTTGAACCTCCCTTTACTTTCTTCTCTTGCTTCGTGTACTACATGGAGGAGAGTGGCAACTGGAACTGTTGCACATGTGTAAATCTCTATGTTGACACCAGTCAATGGTACATAATTCATAGGAATAACCAAGGGAACTGTTAATTCCATACTTAAAATTATATTTTTAGTTTATTTAGCGAAAGCAAAGTCAAAATAATTATCAACTTGCTTTCTGTACTTATTTCTTACAACTGCAGATTCCCAAGTGACTTCTGAATGGATGATTTCTTATGTTTTGATGAAAGCCTGTTTGAACGTGAAGCCAGTGATGAACGTCCCCGCTGTCCTGCATTTCTTCCTAACATTGTTGGTGATTTGGTTGGTTATTTGTTTTGAATTTTTGTTGACAATTGATTGATTTGGACATGTTTTTACAGAAATTTTTACATGAAAGTGATGAAGAGTCTTTGAAAGCTGCATCAGATTGGTTTTATTTATCAAAAGAATATGATCGTTGTTCAGATTGTTTACTCAAATTATGGGGTATGTTTAGTTTATCTTGGTGAATGTATATATACATACACATAAGATAGATAGTGGTCATGCCTCTGATGGCTATCCAAAAAGAATTATTACTGAAGCTATTGTACGATGCTTTTTAAAGTTGAACAGGAAACAAGACTTGCCATTTTTTCTTAAACAGCATGTAAGTTTTTGCTTCACTATTCACTAAATGTTTTCTTGCTTTTAAAAAAGTGCCAGTTATCAATCACTCAAGAAGATTATATTGGACATTTAATGATTCGGCTTATGCCCCAGGCGTATGAGTCGAAACAAGGTAGGATATCTTGTTTTATTGTATGAAATAAGATTAGATGTAAATCAACAGTTATGTTCAGTTTAAAAAGGAAGTAACTAGCGACTGGCCCCCTAGGGTTCCAGTGGGAAGCCGTGAAGAAGACATCACGAAGTGGTCGCACTACACTGTGCGTAAATTGGTAGAGACTAGAATTCATGAGCTGGCCATTGGATCGGTTGGGTCCCAGTGGTTGGTAATGGTCTACGAGCTAGCTCGCCTTGTAACCGGAGGGTCCTGGGTTCGAACCCTGTCAATAAGGTGGGTGCGAGCTGATGAAGAGTCCTGAACTAGGCTGACGAAACAGCTCTCCAGTACTCCAGTGGTGGTTTTCCAATGGTTCTTTAACTGATGTCAGCTCATGATGAAATCCTCCAACTAACTTTAAATAGATTAGAAACCTGTATCTAGTTAATTAATTGGTTGATAAAGCGTTTCATACATTCATCTTAAGTTAAACATACTTCTCAAAGATTATACAAACGGCTGAGTTGCCTTTCTGTGTTTCTCTAATCGATTTTTTTTGTAATGAATTACTTGTATGGGATTTCAGTTGATTCAGTTCAAAGGACGTTTTATTAGAGAATATTATGTGAACTATTCGTGATGATGATGCGTCGGCGGCACATAGGTAGAATTCTTGCCGACTATGCTTGTGGCTCGGTGTCTGAGCCCCGGTCGGTGCACTCATTTACCTCGCTAAGCCAGTAATAAGACTGGTAAAGAGGGTAAAAATAAACCCTGCTACCGAAACTTCAAATCTCTCTAGCTGGAAGCCGTATGTTCCACTGGGAACGTAAAGGCATAACAAAAATTCACGTTGATGTGCATAATCAACAGAGAAGGGTAGGGCATTAGCTACTAAAAATGTGTGATGTATGTTGCTTAAAAAGTTACTCATAAGTCGGATACTAATACACTGTCACCCTTAAAAGTATTAAAGTTTAAAATCAGATCGTCTATCTTCTCCAGCCATTTTTACTACAAAGATATTAGTGTCTCCCCAATTTTTAGATATTCCTTAAGGATGTTTTGGACCATCCTGTGTGTAGCAGTAGGTAATTCTCCCAGAATTACTGGCCACAGCATTCATCACTGGACAAGAAGCAGACGAAGCTCGACATCCAACGGAAGAACATCAACAAAGAGATGTACATACTCCGAATTAGCATAGGTAGAGACGATCAGTAGGCAATCCATCAAGCAGGTCGGAAAAGTTTTAATAATAGTGTCACCATTAGGTTTTTACTTCCGACCGGTTTCGTCTTAAGGTGTCCTCACAACCCCAAGAGGGGACAATGAGCTGTAGCGGTAGGTAATTCTCCAGAATTATTAACCACAGCATTCATCACTGAAAATTGGATACTGAACCCTCACTGTTTAAGTCGGCTTGTTTGGCTGGAGGCTCAAGGTCAAGCATCCGCACCGTTTACACGCCGTTGTATTGCGTTCGTTCGTTCGTGCACCATCCCTAGCTGGCTAAGCAGCCAACCTCGTACTACTGTAACGACAGAAGACAAGGGCTAGGCGGCAGATTCGTTTATTGAGAAAATCAACAAATATTTATAGATTTTGATGTACATTATTATTAGCAGAGAAGTAACGTCTTCTGATTGGCTGTTTTCCTGCTGAAGGTTATTCTGTCATGTCTTTGTTGCCATTTCTTATACAGTTCGGTGATATATCTGCGAATCGTGTCCGCCCACGCTAAGTCTTCTGTGATTGGTTGTTGAGTTCCTCAAGGTTAGACTTTCTTTTTTTCTTCTCATGACCAAGATTTGGGACGTAAACATTGACGTAAATTGCTGTCTACCAACTTTGGCTAGCAGGCAGCTCTCACCACACTACGATTTGGTCTCGAAATGTACTTCGCAATTTGGACGGTCAATTTGGTGTTTTGCTTTGTCTTTGGTCTGTGCGGAACGAATACTATAGAAGTTGTATTTATAACATCTTGCGTTAGTATACATCGTACTATTCGTGGACATCACCACTCTCTGCATCTTGATGTGTATTAAAATTAAGGAAATTCATGTTCCACAGATATAAAGGCAAAATGTAGAATGAAATAAAGTGATCCGATTGCTCCATAGTTGTTCCTTCTGAACCCTTTTCATTCTTTGGAAGGTCAAAATGAGATCTTTTATTGGTATGGCGTTTTCAAACAATTGCCAATATTTTGGTGTGGTTGTGTTCTCTGAACTGGATAGTTAATTTGCGAAGCTTTCATCACCCTACTAGGTGACATCTTCAGCACATACTTCAATTTACTGAAGTGAGCTGTTAGATTTCTCCACGAGTTTATTGGTCACCTCTCCTGGTCACCTTAAACGTGACTCTTTGGTTGCTTTTGCGTTTCTACACCCTCTAGGCTACTTCTGGTATTGGTACTGATTGTTCCTTTGACTTGAACTTTCACTCTTTGTGTGTGAGGTTTCCTTCTTATCGGTTGATAAATTTTGTCAATCTCGATGTGTCTATTGATTGATGATTCACTGGAATGCCAAGCTTATAAAAATCCTCTAGTATTCTTGGTGTTTCCTCTGTCTAATATTTGAACGTTGTCCCAGTCGAAATGATATCCATGGTTGTCTGTATGTAGTGATATGGAGGAGTGGATGTCATGTCTTTTGACGACTAGTTTATGTTCGTGGATACGAAGACGAAGGGGACGTCCACTTTGACCAATGCAGTGTTTTACGCAGTTGTTAGAATTTATTTCGTAGATGATGTTGGTTTTATCTTCTTTCGCTGTTGAGTCTTTTGGTTGACATAGAACTGAGTGAAGTGATTTTGTCAGTTTGAAGAGTCTTGTAGTGATTTCTGAGATGTCCTTTATATGTGGTAGGGCGAATTTCTTTGTGCTTTCCTTGGGGGCTTTTGGTTTGATAGGTTGTCTTGAGGGTATATATCTTTTGATGAAATTCCGTGGATATCCATTCTTTTGGAAGACGTCCATGAGATATCTTTCTTCAATTTTCCTTAAGGTGGGAGTGCTGCAATGAGTCCTGGCCCTCTTGAATAGTGTTTGTATACAACTTCTTTTGTGTGTTATTGGATTGTTGCTGTTGTAATTCAGCATTTGGTCTGTGTGAGTTGATTTCATATAAACTTGGGTTTCTAATTCCCCTGTGGTTGTTCGCTTGACTAAGACGTCCAAAAATGGGATTTTGTTCTCGGATTCCTCTTCTCTTGTGAATTTGGTGTCCTTGAAGACGTTGTTTATTAAGTTGTGAGTTTTATCTAACTCGTTTCTCTTGATTATTGCAAATGTGTCGTCAACGTAAGAAGGAAACTTCTCGCACACACACACACAAAGTGTCAAAGTTCAAGTCGAAGAAACAATCAGTTCCAATACCAGAAGTAGCCTAGAGGGTGTGAAAATACACAAAAACAACCAAAGAGTCATGTTCAAGGTGACCACCAGGAGAGATGATTAATAAACTCGTGGAGAAATCTAAAAGCTCACTTCAGTAAATTGAAGTATACGCTGAAGATGTCACCTAGTAGGGTGATGAAAGCTTCGCAAATTAACTATCCAGTTCAGAGAACACAACCACACCAAAATCATCCACCTCAGCTACAAATCTTCTCTATCATATCTAATTGCCAATATGATCATTTCAGAACTAACTATGAATTCATTGTGTCTCTTCACTCTTGGATATGTTTATTTCACACTGTTGGAACATTGGGATACTTTCTCGTCATGGCTATTGGTTTCTGGGAAACAAGATGTAGTTCTTTACAACCCTGTTTATTTCACAAGAGTATAAATCTTCTGGTGTACCATCTTTATTGATTTAATTTTGAGTGTGACCTATCTTCAGAAAAATAATCGATCTTATTCAAGTGGGCTTTAGGCCAGGTAGAGGGTGCATAGATCATATCTTCACTCTCCGACAGATCCTAGAACATAGACACACTTTTAGGCGTCCAACAATTGCCATATTTCTTGACTTGAAGGCGGCCTTCGACTCCGTGGATCGAGAGGTACTATGGCAATGTTTGACTGTGAAGGGAGTGCCAAGAAAGTACATTGCACTAATCAAGGCACTCTACTCAAACTCACGTAGCCATGTAAGGGCTTATGGGGAATTGTCATGTGAATTGATAACAACCAGTGGTGTCCGTCAAGGATGTCCACTTTCCCCTTTTCTGTTTAACTTCATCATAGATATGCTAATGGAAGTATCCTAAACTGAACTTAACGACTTAGGAATTGACTTGTTACCAGGGAATAGTCTTATGGACTTAGAATATGCAGATGACATAGTCCTGTTAGGGGAGGATGCTGACAAAATGCAGACAGGGTCTTCTGAACACCTTGAGCAGCGATCTTCGTATGGTTGGCATGCGATTCGCCCATGTGAAATGTAAGATGCTGCTACAGGACTGGACTACGTCTACCCCTAGCTTAGTGATAGGAAGTGAAGTGATAGAACATGTTGACCACTTCACCTATTTGGGAAGTTGTATCAGCACCAATGGACTGATTGGCGACGAAATCTCAGCACGGATTCAAAAAGCTCGGGCTGCTTTCGCTAACTTACACCGTCTCTGGCGTAGGCGTGACATCCGGCTATCAACCAAGGGACGTGTATACTGCTCAACAGTTCTCTCCGTCCTTCTCTATGGCTCTGAAACATGGCCAATACGAGTTGAAGACATGAAAATGTTGACTGTTTTTGATCATAGATGTCTACGATCTCCTTCTTACGTTAGGTGGCATCATAAGGTATGTAATGTTGACGTTAGGCGTAGAGTGTTGGGCAAAGAGGGGAAATCAATCGAAGAGGCTATGAAGTTACATAGATTGAGATGGTTAGGTCACGTGCTGCCTCGTTATCGCCTCCCCCGACGGGTATTACTAGCTGATATAGATGCAGGTTGAAAAAGAGTAAGTGGTGGCCAAACAAAAACATGGCATCAATCCATGAAATCCTTGACAGTTAAACTGAGTCGGGAAGGGAGATGCAGGC